ATCATGAAGAATGATGCTAAACACGCTTTGGGATTTACAAGGCAATCTTGTAATGCCTCTTGCGAAAGCCAGCAATGCAAGGCATGTAAAAACTATGAAGGTTTTTTTTTTTTTTTTTTTTTTTTTTTTTTTATATATATATTCGGTATAAAAACTTACACGACAAATTACCTAAAACAGTACGTACAAACTACTAAACTACATTACAAGGACAGAACCCAGGAGGAGCCATATAACATGACTGCCCCCTGGGATATGACATGTATATGAATATAACTAATAATACTACATATATATAAACTAGATTATAATAATACATACATGGTAAAATACAACATATACATAAACGGGAAATACTGCATAAGTAGGCATACAAAACTATATGAAAAGAGACTTGGTGGCAAGGTAACAGTGACCTTATTCGAATCTACCAGTTGTGTGAATATATTGGAGAGTTAATTCGATTATATTTCTGTTGAGGTTGTTTGGGAGGTCTTTATCGCCATATAATAAAAGTTCTATCAAAACCTCATTTGAAAGATCGTTATATCCTAATGATTGTACTAATTCAAAGACTCTAGCGAGAAGATTTCGTCGTTCAATTTCAAAGGCGGGGCAGAGCAACAAAAAGTGTTCCGTAGTCTCGATACCATCGTTGTTAGGGCACATTGGGTTTATGGAATCCCTAAAATTGTGCTTGAATTTATGAAAGCTTAATTTGCTAAGACCCACTCTAATTTGAGTGAGATAGGATAAACCTATTGGGTCATGAATCCCAAAAACAGAGCTAGCAGAAGGACGGATTTTGGAGATCAACTTTTTTTTAAAGGAAGTAGCCGATGGTGCAAGTCTAATCTCCTGATCTAGTTCATTCCATTCAGCCAGGCAATCGGGATAGAAACTAGACTTGAACTTTTCTGTTCTTGCTCTTATTCGTCCAATGACGTCACGATTGCGAAGTGGGTAATGCGACTGTTGAAGTATTGGAATTGGATCCATTAGATATGCAGGTGTTTGATTATTCATCATTTTGTAAAACAACGTAAGGCGTCTACTCCGGCGTCGGGAACTTAACGATTCCCAACCAAGCTCGGCGTATATCTTCGTTCGCGATGTCCCCCTCCATGCTCCTGTGATGGCTAGAGCAGCTGAGTACTGAACGGACTCAAGCTTTTCCATCAAACTTGACAAAATAACATTACCGCTGGATTCACATGCTTTGGCTGGAATATGATAGATCACATCTCCGTATTCAAGGTGAGGTCGCACATAGAGTTTGAATAGTTCGTTTAGGGTATGTCTGGGAAGGAATTTGGAGAGATGTTTCAGAAGACCGATACCCTTTCTTGCTTTAGAGATCGCTGCTTTGATATGAGCCGAAAAAGAAAGCTTTGAATCCAGAATAATACCTAGATGTTTATGTTCATCAACTTTTCTCACTGGTATGTTGTTAAAACGAATCTCTGGATGGTTGATTTCAATTCGTTTCGTCGAAAAAGTTAATTCAACAGCTTGTTTGTGTGGATCGGGGTTGAAGGACATTTTCCAATCATAGGCCCATTGACTTATCAATTCAAGATCATGGTTCATGTCATTGGCAGCTGAGTTTGGATCTTCCACAACGGTGAACAGCGATGTATCATCAGCAAAAAGCTTGATATTACACTTCATACCAGCAGCTAGATCATTGATATAAACAAGGAACAACAGGGGTCCCAGTATAGAACCCTGGGGTACTCCCGCCGAAACATCTCCCCAGAGAGAATTCTGTCCATTTAGGACAGTTCGTTGTTTTCTATTCTTCAGAAAACTTTCAATAAGCAAAAGTAATTGTCCAGTGACGCCACAACGTTTTAGCTTATAAATAAGGCCGTCATGCCATACCCTATCGAATGCCTTAGAGATATCGAGAAACACAGAGCGAACATCAAGTGGAGGATTACAATCAAAGGCTTTAAAGATAGTATGGGTGATTGAGATTAGTTGGTTAATCGTTGAGTCACCGAGACGAAAACCTGATTGATTCGGATTGAGTAACTTGCATGACACCAGGTGAGAATATAAAGGATCGTACATGAGTTTTTCAAGAATTTTTCCAAAAATGGGAAGGAGAGAGATTGGTCGATAATTTCCTTTAAGATTTTTCTCGTTTTTCTTGTGAACTGGCACTACATTTGCATATTTCCATCTTTCGGGAAATACACCCCGCCTCAAGCAGTTTTCGAATATAATTTTTAGAGGAGTAACTAGTGCAGCATCGCTTAACTTTACCATTCTGACTGATATTTCATCCCAACCATGAGCTTTATTGGGATTTAGAGACCTTATAATGTTAAGAATCTTTTCCTCAGATATAAGAAACTCGCTTATGAAAGAAGAAGGAGTTGGAACATTTAGTGGAATTACGCTATCTGTATCAATCGTCGTACACTGGAGAAGGAAATAATCATTGAATATCTGCGCCTTTTCAGTGAAATCCGTTATAAAAAAACCATTTTCTAAAAGAGGTGGTATTATTGGAATCTTAGCTTTGTTTAGGACAGTGTTAATTAAAGACCAATATGTTTTACTAGAAGTCCCAGGGTTGGCTAAGGTGTTTCCTGTTCTAAGGAAGAAATTGCGTTTGGCATCCTCAATCAACTTTGAACCTTCGGATATCATTTGTTGCATTCCTTCTGGCCTGTCAATTGGTTGACCGTTCTTTATGAATTTTCTATAGGCACGATTCTTTTTCCTTAGGAAGGTTTTGACCTTATCTGTTATCCAAGGTGCTTGATGGGGTCTAATCGTTTTAACTTTGTTGGGTATATAATTTGAGTAAATGTTTAGCAGAACTTCATTAAGTAATTCTACTTGCCTATTAGGACACGTCAAGTTGCCAAGGTGCTCTCGCCAGTGAAACATTTCAATGCTTCTCCTAATGGCAGTGAAATTTGCTTTGTCATAGTACCAAATCCTGCGTTTGTAGGGGAGTAGTTTTGCATTTGAAACAGATAGTTGTCCATAGATTATTTGGTGATGGCACTGGTCATGCAAAGAAGGATGGACACCAGACTCAATAAAGAGGTTAGGCTGGTCAGTGAAAATCAAATCAATACAGGATTTGGAATCACCCATCAGATGTGTTGGTTCTGAAATTAATTGATGTAAGCCTAGATCAGATGTTAGTGGCTCGAACAACTTTCCCTCATTATTCTCTATATCATTTTCCCACCATTGAGTTGATCGACAGCCATGATCGACATGTAAATTCCTTTTCTTAGGGTTATGAAGGTTTGATTTGATGTCGTCATGTTCTGCCGTTTCTCAGCTCTAGTTCAGAAAAATGGTAAAAGGTCAAGTCTTTCCCTCAAGTCGACCCTTCGCAGATGAATTTATTCTTCTGACAAGGCTACGAATGATTAAAGCTACATAAAAATCACTTCGGCGTGCAGAAATCAGTTGAAGATCGTTTCAAATGGCTTTTTCTGCTTTCTCTACATTACTTTCACAAAGTTTTTATTTATTATCTCTGCTTCTTCTTGCATAGATTTGCACACCGCCACTTCGACCTTTCCCAGCTTTGACCTTTCTGTTACAAATGTTCTGGGCTTCAATTCCGCTGTAAATTCCTACCTGATACTGTAATTGCCAGACATTCAGCTCGTAGTCTCTTTGCAAATCTTCTTTAAACACTTTTGATTTTGCGTCTAATATCTTTCCATTCACTATGAAAATTCTTCTATAACTTTGCGTCACCACATCTTCATTCTTTTTCTATATCTTCTCTTTTTATGGTTGTTTTTCGTTTCTTTTCTGTCTTCTATTTCCTCTTCTTCTAATTCTGTTTCCTTTTCTTATTGACTTTAACTTTTCTTTTCTTTCCTTTTTCACTCTTTATTTTCTTCTTTTTCACTGTTTAATATATTCTTCTTTACTCCTTCTGTTCTTCGTCTCTTCTTATTTCATTTTTTTACTACTTCTGTTTCCTCTCGTTTTAAAATACCACTTTTTAGGGTTCTTTAAATCAAAGCATCTTCTTAAAGCGAAATTACTTTAAGATCATCAAAACCAAAGCAAAATTACTTTAAAATCTTCTCATAAATAAACAGACTCGCCTTTTTTGGCAACAGCCATTACCTACTCTTCAAAACCAATAATTTGATAACATTCACAAACTGAGCTACTCAAATACTCAATGGTACTGTGTCACCTGACTTCCCATTGGCTGAATTATGCAATTGTCTATTGTTAGATTATCCAATCATTAACGCGGAACTGATTTCAAATTTATCGATTTCAAATACAACGGATTACCAGTTGCTCGCTTGACTAGGCCGATGTCTTTGAGGTAATTCAGTATATCCATTACCACCAGTTCTCTTGAAAAATTGCTTTTAATGTAAATCGATGTCTTCGATACAATTCATACTTGTTCGATTGAACGTACGAAAATATCATTGAAAATGCACGTATTTGCTTGTTGTAAAGCTGGATCAATTTATGCTGTACACATGAAATATAGAGTTGTGATGATAGAGCAAGCCTTAACAATGGTGTATTCATAAAATGCAAACGTTGTATTTCTGACGATTGCAATATGTGCTAGGAAATACTCGTTATGAATTGAATGCTTTGAAATTATTTCTTTCATGCTCACACCAAGCAGCATCACGCTCTTCTATATATATTTCTTGATTAATGACGTCACTCATTAGAACTTTTGTAATTTGGATTCCATAACCTGAGAGAGCATCAATAAATACCTCTAACCGTGCAAAGTTTATTGATTGTCTCACCAATCAGCTGAGATATGGCCAGATAAGCAACGGTTCTTTTTCCATCAAATCTCTGCAATTTGGTCTCGGTTCATAACTTTATGAACAGAGCCAAAATAGCAGTAATCCGTTAGCAGACATCAAATCTATCATTGGCCATACTTTGGCGAATTTTTGACACGTTTTACCGATTTTGTATGTGAAAAAGTATTTCAATGTGGTATTTTAGGTTATGTGGTCGAGTTCAAAGGCTCTGTAGTAAAATGTTTGTATTATATGCTGTTTGTATTATACGACTTGCTTGTACTATCATTTTGACACTTGCCCTGTCTTTGCTTCATCCAAAATACCTTTTACTTTTAGGTTACCCTCATTAATTTTGCTGATTTGGAAAATAGATTTTATTTGATCCAAGTAAAGACACATATGACTTGCACGAGGTGTAAATATCTATGAATATTTATGTTGGAAATAATTTAAAGACACTCTTTTTTATTAATATATTTTTAACTGCCTGCAGCTTCATAGAATGTCTATGTTTTATTGGTATAAGATACTCAGTTTTCAAGAAACAACAAATGTTTATAAAGCAAGTTTTTGTTGCAAAGTTATATTAAACAACGTTATAAGTGAAATGCGAAGTCATAAAGATGACATTCATGCTACTATATTGTGCAAAATACTTTGAATGATAAAGCGATGTTGTGCAAGCAACGTTTTCTATTAATCCTGAGTGTTTTTTACAAACGTGCAAAAAATAGCTCAATAATCCCTTATAAAGATTATCTTGTCTCTTTCTCCAATACTTCTCAAAGAATCAGAATGTTAACAATTTTTTTGCGGTACAGAATTTGAAAATGGCTTTGAAAAAAGCAAACATTATACGAAATACTAAAAGCTTTTAGACATTCTTTAGGCTTGCGGCACTGATTGGTCAGCCATACTGGTCTTGTGCTTGCGTTTTCTGATTGGCCTATTTCGATCCACAACTGGGTATATATTTTCCATCGTCTTCTTTCGGAACCTATTCTGACGTTTTTCCTCTGAGGAGTGTCAGACGAAAAAGCTTTTAGTATGTCGTAAAATGTTTGCTTTTTCAAAGCCATTTTCAAATCAGAACGTTATAGCACTGTCTTTATGATGACCCTTTGAAGAATAAAACTTCTCTTCGGCAATGAAAACGAGTCATCAATTTGCCTTGGCCTCGTACTTTTCGAACCCAGTCTCCTTTTTAACTGCCTCGCTTGACTTTCATTTCGATAAAAGTCATGTATGGAATACTTTCCCATACACAATGTTCATATCTTTGAGTCTCTCCTGGTCTTAAAAAAATACCATTCAAGTGTGTTCGATAGCAACTATTGTACCACCAAGCACCTTTGTATATTGTTGCACAATTGCCATTGGATCGCTGGTCGTTGTCCCTGTCGTAAGTGGTCCACCTGTTGCCACTATGATATGCAAGCGAATCACGCACGTTCCCTATCAAAACAACATTACCAATCATAAATGATAAATCAATCATAATCATCAATCAATCATAATCATCGATCAATCATAATCATCAATCAATCAAATTCATCGATCAATCATAATCATAAATAAATCATAATCATCATGATCAATCATAATCATTAGCCAATCGAAATCATTATAATTTCCCTCGATTGCACAGCATACACAAAAATTTACAATATTTGATAATTCGTACCAGTGAATCCAGAGACATTCAATCGATAACTAGCAGCCTCATTTTCGACTTCGAATTTACTGTACTCTGCGTAATAGCTCTCACCAGTCCTTACTTTCATGTCGACGCGGAGCTTTGCACCTGCGCCAGGCTTTGCTAACTCATGTAATTTGTCCAAGCCAAGCCAGAAGTTCCCTGATGGATCACCAAATCCGACTTTATATGAAGCCCAATCGCGGTAGAAATCGACGTCAGCCGAAACTCGTCGTTGAAATACTGTCCATTCTTCAATGAAAGTATAATGTTAACGATGAAATAACCAATGAGAGCATTGCAAGCGCATGGAAACTGCTGATTGTGTATTTATGGTGTATGGTTTATTTAATGTTGAATGTGAAGATGAGATGGAAACGCAAAACTGTAAAAGCTAGAAAAAGATTGAAGTAGGACGCGCCAGTAGTATTTCGTAACATTTTTTGAGGCGCTGAATAGTAAGAATGATTTCAAATACACAACAGAAAATTGTCAATAGAAAAGTAAGTCTAATGGGTGCGGTCATGGTTGTGGCTTTAAGAAATCACTTACAGTACGAACTACCCTCCAAACCTGACAGGATGGCACCCCAGATGATTGTTGTTACATAAGTGGGTACAACCTGATTCAAACTCACGCTAATGGCAGACAAATGACATTCTAAGCCCTATCAGTATTCTATTACGCTCGGAGTGCCCTGATTGTAGATACGGCCTGAAAATTTGTTCTTCAATCTTGCTTTTGAATAAACGAGATACAATATTGATGAAGCTTAAACTTGGGAGGATGTGTTCAGCTCTTACCTTTAATGGTCTCGCAGTTGTATCCAGTGTAAGGGGGGACACACGTGCACTTGTATCCTTTATTATCGCAGGTATCTTGGCACGTGCCACCGTTCTGGCATGGCATCAATGCTTTACAGGTTGGTCCTAGCTAAAAAGACATTATTCAACGAATATCACACACTGTTTTTAAAAAAAGCACAGCTTAATTTATGTAAAAATTTTCCCATTTACCAAAATCTCCCGTATTAAATAAAGCACAGCTTAATTTATATAAAGTTATTTTTACCCTGACCCCTCCTTATTAAATAATGCACAACTTGATTGATATAAAGCTTTGTTACCTAAAGCGGTTTTACATCCCCTTCCCCACAACTCTTACACACATATTGGGTAAAATATAGCTTTGACAATTTAATACTTTGCTATTTACTCGAACTAAGTAAAGTACCTTCGTCAAATAGCCACAAATAAGATGTTTTAATCTGCCTTAAATCATATCTGCCTAATAGAAATCAATAATTAACAATCAATGGAGACAACCTATGGTGTATCTCAAGGAACAGAACTTGGCCCTTTGTCATTTCACGTTATCTCTAATCATTGGATGGAAATGGAATTCAAATAAAAAACTCTGTCGAATAACAATAAATAAAATAGGCCTTACGTTCATTTGGTCCTCTTCTGTCGTCATGTAAACAGAACCGACGTCTTTTGTTAAGTGCACTTCACTCTCCGTGAAATTTCTCTCCAACAGATCGCATGATTTCGTTTCTTTCTTGAAGTTAATGGACTTGCAACTTGGCCACGAGAGACATTTATGGGTGCATGCTAGTGCGGTTGCTGACGTCACTGTCTTCCCGACAGGCCCTGCGTCCTTCATATCACGAAGAATGATGTTAAAATCGCCGTGGACTTTACAAGCCAACCTTGTAATGCCCCTTGCGAATGCTAGTAATGCAAAGCATGTAAAAACTATGAAGGTTCGGTTTGAAGTCGTCATAGTTCTGCCGTTTTTCATCACAGTAAAGATCTTCATCTTTACTTCTTAATTTCTTTTTCTTCCGCTTCCTTTTGTCTTCCGCTTTTCTTTTCTCTATTTATCTTCTCCTCCTTTTTCGTCCCCTTTTCTGTTTCTTCCTGACCTTTCTTCTTCACTTTTTCTTCCTCTTCCTGTTTTACTTTGTCTTTTTCTTCTGTTTCCTTCTCTGTTTGCTTCTCGTTCTTCTTCTTCTTCTTTTTAATCTTTACCTCTTCATTACTTCTTCCTTTCTTCTTCTCTTTTCCTTGATTTTCTACTTCTTTTCCTGAGTTCCAATGCTTTCTTTCTTTTGAAAATCCGCTTGTTGAAAAGTTTTTACCTCAACTTCTTTTCTTCTTTATGTCTTCAATTCAACTAAAAATTGTTATACCAAAGTCTTAATTTTCTTTTTCAGTAAAACACAGACCTCAAAAACCACAAAATATTTACACATAAACAATTTTTTACTAAAAAAAACCTTGAAAAGCCAAAGTGTAAGGCGACAAAAAGTCTACTACAAAAAGTCGACAAAAGGTTTCCTGAAGGCCTAGCAGTGTAGCAAGAACTTTTCCTTTTATAAGCCTAGCAGAGTATTGAAACCTTTATCTTCCCTAAAGCCAGTCTATTTCTAACAGCTTATGTCCAAGCCATTACATCAAGATATTTTACTTCTAGACTAGTCTTCTTTCCTTCGTTACAAAATCGTTTTAGAAAAATCCAGGACATTTTTACTTCATGATCTTCTCGCAGAGAAACAAACTTACCTTTACAGATGCAGCTTCCAGCCACACTTCACCACCAAGATTGTGACAAACTCCATAGACTGGGCTTTATATGTTTGTGAAAGGCACTAGGTCCTGATTTATTTAGATTGTCACCTCAATACCCATTGGTCGAATAAGACAATAGTCCATTGTTAGCAGGGGCGTACGTAATCTCCATTGGTTGAATGAAACAATCGTCTATTGTCACATTTCCCAATATTTACCGTGGGACTAGTTCTAAAACATTCCACGATTGTAAACACCCCCGCAATGCCTGCTGTTAACGTGACAATGACCATGCCCCCGCAATGATTGACAGGGAATATGGTCTTTGAATCCCATTGGTTTAAAAAACAATAGTCTATTTTTACATTTTCTAATTGTTAATTTGGGGGCAGGTTGATTTATAGCCACCAGCCATTACAAAATAATTCTCAATGCATATGGATATTTTTGGCAAAATTTAATACCTACCTGCTCGTGGGTAGATAGCGAAACAGCATTAAAAATGCACGTTCGTTGTAAAAGCTGGGTTAAGTTATCGTGGGCAGATGAATTTAAGGCAGAGGTGTAGCAAATAAAGCAATGGGACATTCATTATTTTGTGCAAGTATCTATTCTGTCTATTGCGAGGTATGTTAAGGTAGTAATTCACACTTTTAAAAACTTGCACTGAGGCAGACACATATGGACATAAATAAAAGGTTCCTTCATGTAACACATTCAACTTTTCAAGAGTGAAAGTTGAAGATATGATGCAATTGAAAATTAAGATTTTTTTAAGAAAAATATTAATTATGCTAATTAATGCAAATTTTAACGACGCGCTCTTTTTTTCTTGGGCAGTCGATAACTTTTTAATGGAATCTCCTATTCAGCTCAAATTTTTACTGTGTATTCCACTTGAGTGCATGTGTGCAATGAATAGACAATTCTTGAAAATTTTCACTTAAAAAGGAAATAATGGCAAAAAACCATGTTTCCATGGTAACGGCTACCATATTTGAAATTTGAAAAATTCCTCTATTCATTCCACTTTTCATATTATTTGCTACAGACTGTGAAAATTTCAAGAAGATTGCTTATCATATGTAAAAGTTATCTCCTGCCCAATTTCATGATTCCCAAAAACAGTATTTTTGAGAAAATTGACTTTAAAGTTTTGGCTATCTTTTTTCAATATTCTTGGATCTATCTGGGGCCATAACTTCATATTTACCCCCAGTTTGGCTTAAAAAAGACTAAGCATTATTTTAATATACTTATTTTGCTAATAAGTTTTCAAATATTCACTATATTCTCCAAAGGAACTGCAAATGTTATTGGGATGTCTGTTATTACGTCATCAGAAACAGATTGGTCAACTTTATTTTGTTTGTTGCAATCAGAGTACTGATATCTCTTTCTTCTTTGAGTTGAGATTGGCTTTTCACCTCTACTGTCAAAGGCCCCAGGTTCATAATGTTCTTTTTCAGATCTTTTCATGTTAGTTTTGGTCCTTTTTCTACTTATTCGCCAACTTTTATACTTTGAAGTGACTTTCTGTGCTGCAGAAATTTGGCGAATGTGGTCTTCCTTCTGAAGAGACTTCAAAGATTCCTCTCCAATATCCTCAATTCCAGCTTCTTTTAACATTAGTGCCCTTGATCCAGCACCAGTGTTAAAACAGCAAACTGCTTCTGATACTGCAGACTCTATTCTAACTTTGCTACAGAAGGTTGCTTTGGGACACCTTTCCCAGATCATATGGTTTAGACTCTCATTTGCATTTTGCGTTACACCTTTCAGGCATCTCTCAAGCAAATCCTTTGATGTCAATCTTTTGAAGATAGGCTCTAAAATGTCAAAAAAGGAGCTTGGTAATCTTTTGCTTCCATCATAACTCTTCTTGCCAGTAATTAGCTCTGCATTAAATTTGCACCAAGAGTCTTTGCCTTTAGGGCAAAATTTGTGCTGATCATTAAGGGTAGATGCTGTTGCTGGCATGACTGAATGGTGAAAAATTGCCCAAACATCATTCTGCATCTGAGCCAGGTTACCTCTGTTGGCTCTTATGGAATTACCAAAATACCTTTGGAAACTGTCAATTCTTTCTTTTGTCAATCTCCCTTTACCACCTATTGTTTTCCCATCTAACATCTTTTTACCTTTCATTTCTTTCAGAAGTGTTCTTAGGGCATTTCCCATAGGCTTCTGTATATGTCCTATGCATTCCTCCTTTACAACCTGATACCTGCTTCCATAAGCTCTTTCCAATTCCTTACTCACAACCTTGAAGGTGTCACTGTCACCATCTCCAATAAAAGTTGTATATTTTAATCCCCTTCCTTCAATTGATCTTAGGAAAATTCTGGCTGCACCAATTCCTTCCATACCACCAGATGACCCTTCATAATTTATTTGACAAGAGGCATCGTGATTTGCTTTCCACCTTTTAAAAGCTTCACTATCTTTATTTTCATGTTGATGTTTTCTGCATTCATGGCAATGCATTGACAATACTTCAAAATCGACAACCTCGCCAGTTTCCATTAGAACCACGACAAGACTCCATACTTAGAAGAGTATCCTCGTTTTTGCCATGTTCCATCAACACTGACAGCAACAGAAATAGTATTATCCATATCATCTAGATAGGCATTGGGATTCTGTTCCAAAACACTTTTCTTAAGACGATTTGCTGCATCCTTCATCTGTTTTTCAGCAACTTCTCTTGAAATTTTGGCAGAAGACTTCAACTGCCTTGCATAGGAAGCACTAGTTAGTGGTGAAGGTAAATTCATCATTCCACAAAAATTTGAAAGAATTTTGCGTCCACCTTTCAAAGAATTGCATGCCATGACTGATCTTGTGTTTACTTCGAATTTACCTTTGTCTAACTTTTTGCTGGTGTGGAAGATTGTCTCTGCTGAGCAACAAGAACACTTAATGATCAATGTCTCAGCAAGCCCATGCTTCTTTCTGCTATCCTTCAAGATCTTCAACTGAGAATCTGATCTTTTACAAGCTCTACAATTGGTAGAGGATTGCAAAGCTTCTTGGAGCAGAGACAGATCAATAATAGTGAAACCATCAGCTTGTTCAATTTGCTTTTGCTTAGAAAGGCCCATTTTCTTCGATGATCTTCTTGTAAGCACCCTCATACTATCATTTAGTTCTTCAAACGATGAATTCAACAATTTTTGTGCTGTCCTAGATTGAACTGAGCTCATTGGTGTGAAAGACGAACTGGGCTCCACATCGTCACTAGGCCTAGGCCGAGTGTCAGATTCAAGTCTACTAGCAATATCCTGCTTGCGAATGCCAAAAAACCTCCTTTTCCTCTTAACTCTACTTGCTAGAGCCCTTCTTTTATTCGGTGGCATGTTTTACTTATAATATCGATTCAATAAAGGCATTATCAGAATAAATTTGTATTCCGTTTCGCAATCCAACATCTAAGTGACTGTAAAGTGTGCGAATTTGGCGTGTTTCTCAGCCTCTGATCGCAAAAGAGGCTACCACAGGGTGTTCATAAGATGTTTATCATTCCACAGGGAAAGCCTGCAGGCTTGGGGGTAATTTTTTACAAAAAGACACAAAAATGAGCTCCTTAGCAACGCTAAAATATCGTTGCTAAGGAATAAACTTCCGACTACTGTCGAAAAACAAGTTAATTGTGTCTAAACCACAATGTGGTTGTCAAAATAACTATTTCTACCGAATTCTACGATAATTTTGGCGTAGAATGAAACAAAAAAATGAAAACTGAAAATTTTTAGAAAATGCTTTTTCAAAAGTGTGAACTACATCCTTAAGAATACCCGTTGTGCCTGAGGCTTATACGAATTGCATCATGTTTTGTTATTCCATCGCTTTGCAGGATTACGTCTCGGGCAGCCTTTCCATTAGCCCGGGTTAAAACAAAAACGGGTTGAAAGTTATCCGTTTATGCGTCGCGTTCCCACTAACCCGAATAAGTTTGAAAACGGGTCTCAGAGAGGGTCAGTTTTAACCCGGGTATCTTTTGACCCACCTGCGAATTAATGGAAATCCCGAAACCCGGAAAACTTCTGACCCACTCGCAACAACAGCAACGTTTGAGAATTTAGATGACGCCAAAAATCAGAACAACGAAGTTGTAGTCTTTTGTTTCAGAGCCTCTGCTTTGCTATTTGAAGCGCACCAAAAATCTCCTGCCACGCGAGTGCACTGAAACGGAGAAAAATTGTAGGGAAAGGAAAAAAGTCAAGAAAGAGGTGCTGGCTTGAAAAGTTTGTTTAAGTCAAAGAAAGTGTTCTCCAAACCCACTCTCTTCTTAAAGATAAACAGTAACTTGAAATCAGAGCAATAAGATGTATAGTAATAGGCAAAATGCATTCAGGACCTATCATTGTGAAAAAAAACTTCATTTTATCAGCCGCCATTCTTTTTCTTTTTATGAAACCACAAGTTGTTGAAAAAGCGCACCAAATTGGGGGTCGAGATCACAGAATTTGTAACTGAATGTTGCGGAGCACATGATACCAGATTCGAGCGTTTACACGTGTACTCTGTTCAATCCGATGCATATCGGATTCAGTTCATGCCACTTTCGAAGCAAGGCGGTTCAACTCCCCGAAAGCGGAGCGAAACCTTATCGAATTGGATTCTCAACGTTTAAGCAGAATGCCTATCTGGTATAAAACGAATCCGGTATGAATTGAATCCGGTATCGTGAACCGGGCCTAAATTGGGCAATGTGATTGCCACCGGTTGTGACAATATTTTGTCTGAAGCTGAATGTACTAAAATGCGACGCTAGTAACTTACAATCATTGCCAAAAGTACTTGAAATACCAAACAACTTGCGTTGTGTTTTTGTATTTTTCAATTCTTTTCCCGGATGCTCCTATTTCCGGACTCCTTTCCCCGAAACATGTTTGATAATTAAGAAAAATATCATAAAAGAAGGGCAAAAGAAAGTGTTTCCTAAAATCCTAGCCCGTTTCATAGTGAACCCCTATTATTCTGGGGGGGGGGAGAGGGATAATTAATTTCGACCTTGGAAAATGACGTCAGTGTTCCAAATATTTTGTCAGGGATTGTAGCTGAGACTGTGATTTTCAAAAACTTTGATGTGGTATCTCTTTCAAAGTGCTAGATCTATGCAAATTATCATCTATTTTGTTTGATTGTTGAAAGTTGTGAACTTAGTTTTTGTTTTTGTCAACAAAACCTTTTTAACCATTGACAAAAACAATTCTCTAAACCACACTCCTGGCCAAAAATAGCTAAGACATTTGAACAAAAAAGGAATTCGCGTGCTATATCTTCATGGGTGACTTAAACCCCCTTCCCCCCAGGGTCAATGTTGGTTAAGATGGTTACGGAATAAGTGGGGATTACTACATTGGCTACCAATCCAATCCCAACATTGATTTAAGGGGAAGGGGGGGGTGGGTGATTAGTAAGTAGCTTCTTTTTTTGCATGTGTGTTAGCATTTTTGGCCAAGATTGCAGTTCTGTGTGTGTGTAGGAGTTTTTGCATCATGTTCGAGACAAACTTGAGTGACTATGATGTGATAAAAAGATGTTTCTAAAGAGGAATTACATACAAGTTATATGCTTGCTAAATAAAGCATTTATAAAGTGAAAGAAAATGTTTTAATCTGCCTTAAATCATATCTGCCTAACAGAAATCAATAGTTAACAATCAATGAAGACAACCTATGGTGTATCTCAAGGATCAGAACTTGGCCCTCTGTCATTTCACGTTTTCAATAACGACTTACACAATACACATGGTGCGCTTATTCAAAAAAACTAGGTGAAAAGTATGTGCAAACTCAAGCAGTTGAATTTATTGGAACTTGTTTGTATATTTCTTGAGATAAGATAGATAAATACCATTTCATACGTACGGGGAAAGTAAATTTGGGGAGATATCTAACGGGAAAATATCTTGCGCGGGAAGTAAATTTGGCAGGAAAATAGAGTATTCCCCCCTCTCTTGTGCTGTAATGACTATTGCATGACGGTAGATACAGCTTCCATAACCGAGTTGATACAGCTTGAACAAAACTCAAGCTAAAGGGCGAGAATCGATGGGGGGAAGGGGGTGAGGGGTGGTGAGGGAGTGAGGGGGTGAGGGCAGGTCGAGAAAATATTACTCCTTGGGAAGATACAACTGTTCTGTCTCGTTTTATATCATGCTATGAAAATAAATGTGGTGCTATCAAAAAGGAGCTATTAAGGGCATTAAGAAAACAATGGTCACCTTTTGGCATTATAAAGAGGGTTGAACCCCCTAAAATGAGTCCTCTAACCTGAGCCCCCTAATCTAAGCTCTTTTATCACTACGCCATGTTTATTGCAGTGATTCATTTTTAAATCTTTTCTAAACTCTTTCGATTATATAACTAAAAATATACAACATACAAGAAATGCAACGAAATAAAATATTACCTGAACAAAAGAAGCGAATACACTTAAGTATACTTTAAAATGAATAAATAATTCAGTTTATACGATAAAACATTTTTTAGGGGCTGCACTTTCCCAGTATTTGGATCACACAGCCTTCAGTAGGAATAGAGACAAAAGAAAGAAATATTTTTTACATTTTGTTGGCCCTGCAAATGTGTCATTGTATAAGCAACATTGCTTTAGGAAGAGTAGTTGAAAATTTGGATGATTACTGGAAAATCTAAACCACTTTCTAAAATTATTTTCTAGGGTTGATGATTTTGTACCCCAGCCTGAGCACCTTACCCCTAAAAACATATGAATACCCCACTAGGCACATCTCTCGCGTCCTTCCTTCCCGCCTCTAATATTCACATGACATTTTCTGTAAGCGAGGCTAGTAGCTTTAAACGTTGGAGTACATTCGGTCGAAATTCCGAATCTATCGATATATTTTTGACGTTATCTTTTAGCCAGGTTATTTTCCTAATTGCACAGTTGTGGCTATAAGTGGGTTTTCCAAAAAGCAATCGCAAATTCTGTTTAAAATTGAAAGCTTATTTGCTTAAATTACCAAATCAAGAAAGTTATCCCTAGTGCAATCAAAAATTCGTTATATTTTCACTGCCAAGGTCTCTGAGGAGAAAGCAATGCCTCCTACCTCGCATTCTGGAAAAACAAACGAGAATTTTAGTCAAATAAAATTTATTTAACCTTGGCTTTCATCTCGCTGAACCAAGTCTCCCCTTTCAGCTTTCCTCATATGACTTTCATTTCGCTAAATGTTATATCTTTAATATCATACCATCTGCAATTTGTATTAGACTCTACCTCTCCTGGTCTTAAAAAAATTCCATTCAAGTTTGCTTGATAGCAATTATAGTACCACCAAGCACCTTTAAAGTAAGCGCCACAATTGGAACTGGATCTCAAGTCGTTGTCTCTGTCGTAAGTGGTCCATTTGCTCCCACTATGATATGCCATTGCGTCATGTACATTACCTATAACAACAAAATTTATCAATAACCATCATCATTACAATCATCCACCAATCAAAATCAATCATAGTCAATCACCATAATCTTTAACAATCGTCAATGATCAATCATAAGTCAATCATAATTATCAATCAATCACAATGATTATCAGTCAATCATCAATCAATCGTAATCATCAATCAATCACAATGATTATCAGTCAATCATCAATCAATCGTAATCATCAATCAATCACAATGATTATCAGTCAATCATCAATCAATCGTAATCATCAATCAATCACAATGATTATCAGTCAATCATCAATCAATCGTAATCATCAATCAATCACAATGATTATCAGTCAATCATCAATCAATCGTAATCATCAATCAATCACAATGATTATCAGTCAATCATCAATCAATCAATCAATCAATCAATCAATCAATCAATCAATCAATCAATCAATCAATCAATCAATCAATCATAATCACCAATCAATCACAATGATTATCAGTCAATCATCGATCAATCACAAACATCAATCAGTCATAATCCTCGATCAATCATAATCATTAGCCATTTGAATTCATTATAATTTCCCTCGATTACACAGCATACACAAAAATTTACAATATTTGATAGTTAGAAAGCGTACCAGTGAATCCAGAAACAGTCATTCGATAACCAGCGGCCTCATTTTCGACTTCGAATTTACTGTACTCTGCGTAATAGCTCTCACCAGTCCTAACTTTCAAGTCGATGCGGAGCTTTGCGCCTGCGCCAGGCTTTGCCAACTGGTGTAATTTGTCCAAGCCAAGCCAGAAACTCCCTGATGGATCACCAAATCCGACTTTATATGAAGCCCAATCGCGGTAGAAATCGACGTCAGCCGAAACTCGTCGTTGAAATACTGTAGAATTTACTATTAAAATAGCGCAAAAATTGTCATTACCGATAAGGGCGTGGCAAAATGAGAGAAGATTGCTGATTGTATATTTAATAGAGTATGGTTTATCTAACTGAAGATAAGATGGAGAAGAACTTGGATAAAATGCAAAAGAATTTGTTTTTGGAATTCGTTATCATAACACCAGAAAAAAAATTATTTTAATCAGGGGTGCCGTGGAGGAAGGCTCCGCTCTCTTATCACTAGCAGGATGATTTCAGGAGTGCTCAGCATTCCTTTAAGTAACAAACGCATGTTTGGCTAGACAAATGCCTGGCCGGAAAGAATAAGGCAAACATCTAAGATGATTTCCTTTAGTGACCGCCGCCCTCTAAAAAACCACTTTCTGATAACCGCCGCTTTTAGTTAAACGCCGCATCCCAAATTTGGTTTTGTAATAAAAACCGCGGCGTTCATTAGAGGAAATACGGTAATCCCATTGCATGATTTACATATTTCAATTGCAGGTAAACACTAACTTAAGTAGTTTCATCTATAGCATGAGACAGTTCATATGCTACAGAACAATACATTGATTTTTATGAAGTCAAGTTTAAACCAGATTTATGACTGAGAGTCTCAGGATTATTTCTGATTTAATTTGAAGGAGGGTATCGGATGATTCTCTATCTACAGAGAGAGAATATAAGCAAAATAACCTGCAACCAGTAAATTCATACTTTGTTTTTTATGGACACTGCACTATCCAGTCACGCTTCCCAGCGCAATATTCCTTTAAGCTAAATGGTCAATTTAAAGAATATTTTTGCGAGTCATCACTTTGGAACTCAATACACAGTGTTCTTACCTTTAATGTTCTCGCAGTGGTACCCAGTGTAAAGCGGGACACATGTGCACGTGTATCCTTTACTGTTGCATGCATCTTGGCATGTGCCACCGTTCTGGCATGGCATGAATGCTTTGCAGATTGGACCTTGCTATAAAACATAATTCTAAGAAAATCACATTTCCCTATCAATTAATGTAGAGCTTATTTTATAAGAAGCTTTGCTATTGACGCAAAATTTACAAGCACACAAACCCTCCTTGTTAAAGACGTATAAACTATGCCATGTAATACCTCGGTATTTGTGCGAAATTAACAACACCATCCATAGTTCAGTATCATATCAAATGTGTAGATTGAATATAGATAATAAATTTCGTTAACAAAATAGGCCTTACGTTCATTTGGTCTTCTTCTGTTGTCATGTAAACAGAGCCAATGTCTTGCATCAAATTTATTCCACTCTCCGTCAAATTTCTTTCAAGCAAATCGCATGAATTTGTTTCTTTCTTGAAGTTGAGGGACTTGCAGCTTGGCCACGAGAGACATTCTAGAGCGCAGGCTCTTCTGGTTGCTGACGTCACTGTCTTCCCGACAGGCCCTGCGTCCTTTATATCATCAAGAATGATGCTGAAATCGCCGTGGGTTTTACAAGGCAACCTTGTAATACCGTTTGCAAATGCCACCAATGCAAGACATGCAAAAACTATGAAGGTTTGGTCTGAAGTCGTCATGTTTTGCTCCTTTTCAGCTTAAGTTAAAAAAACCAGTAAAAATCAAATTTCCATTTCAATTTGCTTTTCTCTGGGAGTTTATTGTCTTCTGTTAGAGCCTCTAAATCAGAAAAGTTTTGTAACAATCACTTCAGCTTGCAAAAATCAGTTTAAAATCGTTTCCAATGATTAGAAATTTCGTCTTTTGCAAATCTTCATTAGGTCTTAATTAAGAAATTGTACTTTTATCTTTTACTTATGTGCACAACATAGCTCTGCCCGGTAAAACTTTTTGTCGCAAACTTTCACATTCACATATGTTTAACCTTCCTTCAACTTCGTCTTGATCTTCACCTTTTTAATAGTTCATCACTGTTTCCCTACGTTTGTATGGTCTTAGCTTCTTCTTCACTACTTCACTTCTTCACTTCTTCACTTCTTTATTTCTTCACTTCTTCACTACTTCACTTCTTCACTTCTTCACTTCTTCACTTCTTCACTTCTTCACTTCTTCACTTCTTCACTTCTTCACTTCTTCACTTCTTCACTTCTTCACTTCTTCACTTCTTCACTTCTTCACTTCTTCACTTCTTCACCTCTTCACTTCTTCACTTCTTCACTTTTTCATTTCTTTACTTCTTCACTTCTTCACTTCTACATTTCAGCTAAGAGCCAATATACAAAGACTTTTTAAAAATCTACCGTGACACAGATCTCAGCATTTTGATAAAAAGCTTTGCACATAATCTTTTATATCTACTCAACAATTTTTCCGATAAAACATTGAATTCTTCTAAATCCAAAACCTAATTTTCTTTTCTCCTATCATAAAGTTTATTTATAACTCGAACCCTGTCCTGTCTATTTAGTTCCTTCAAATCGAAATGTCTTCATAAACTTCAAGCAGAAGATATTCTAAATAATCTAAGCGGAAAAGTTTTCTCTTCACTCTCTTGTTACCTAAAAACTACATGTTTCAAGCATTTTTTATTCTAACTAATACATCACCTACAGCAAATTGTTTTTCCTAAAGCTAGACTTGTAGATGCTCAAACAAATACAATTACAGCACCCAGGGGTGTTCTTACTTCAGGGTCTTCTTGCAGAGAAAGAAACTTACTTTTATTGAGACAACTGTCACTCACACTTCACTTCCAAGATTTTGACAAATATCACAGATGCAGTCCTCAAAATGCTTCCACGTATGATTGGCATGAGACGAGATTAATAAGCAAAAGCACTGCGCCCCGACTTATCTAGAATGCCACAACAATTTCCATTGGTTGAATTAGCAATAGTCTATTGCAATATTTTCCAATTGTTAACACTAGATTTATTCTAAGAACGTCTCCAAATGTTGATACCTGCTGATATCTTTGATACGATCGGTGGCCTTTGTATTAATTGGGAAATTTAGCTGCCACCAGTTGTGACAAAATTTTTTTGAATGCACGAAAGTGTGTTTCTAGTAACGGTTAATTGCTACTTAGCAAAACATTTTTTAGACAAATTTGTTTGTGGTTACAGCTAGGTCAAATTATGTCACACAGATTAATTATAGATAGGTTTGTGGTAATGGAGCAAACATTAAGGCCTGGCCGAATGAATAAAACATCCGTAAAACATTAGAAAACATTGCGATTTATACTGCTAAAATTACCGTATTTGAATTAAAAAACATCTAAAAGGTAGTTTGAATCATGCCGAATCCGATTCTGGGGTTTTTTTGAGATATCAGTCCATTATTTGGAGTTATTAACGATTTCCCTAAATGACCCCGAGCGCTACCAACGCTGCTCAAATCAATTACGGCTGCACAGCGTCCTACAGCTACTGCGTTGTGTTTGTCGAATTTTAACCTACTGCGCTTGCGTGTATAAAACAAATGTTTTAAGGAGTGGCCAAACGAACGCAACATTTTTGATCAAACTTGAGAGTAAAAAAGATGTTTCTCGAAAGTTTACGAAATGTCTATTTTTGCAAAGCGTCATAAAACTTCGTAAAACATGGTGGCCAAACGATTAAAATATGTTTTATGCAACAATGTCGGATGAAGTTTTATGACGATATTTTATTTGTTTGGCCAGGGTTTTAGCAAAGGGACATTTCTTTTTAAACTGACTGCTTTGCTAAAAGTCCCATACAATATTATACATTTTTCCCAGAATGCAATTTCATCCTGCACAATTTATAATCCATGTGTTACCTAAAAAAGTCTGTGACACGATTCTAAAAGGCTAAGAAAAAAACACGACATGGTGCAATTATTATGAGAAGTTATTTTACAATAGAAGAGCGTAAAGATGTGTGAGGATGTACAGTTAAATCAGGGCCTCCGACGAAAGGGGCGCTGGGGAGCATGCTCCACACCTTTTGCAAAACAATAGAGCTTTTTTCCAAAACCTTTCATTATGGGTGTTAAATTTTCCCTTGCCCCCTCCCCCCCCACTTTCCTATAATAAGTCTAGTTGTGCCTATTACTTTGAGTAGTCGTCAGAGCGAAGAGCAAACAGAAATATCGTGTGACTCGTAGCGAGAATATAAACTGACCAATCATTCTTAATATTAAGTAAAGCTTATATATAAGCAAAAGCGAGGTTAGCATGATGTCACATGACATACATCCCTGCTACATTCCAACCTGTATTGGAGCCAATGGGTGTTTGCTAACATACAACGCAATAGATGAAATAAGTATGCAAAATGGAGCTAACTAGCAAATGCCCCATTGCTTAAATTTGCTCCATTATCACAAAATATTCTTTTAAAAACAATCTTAAAATTATTTTACAAAACAACATAGTAATCAATGATGGTTTTTAAACTTAGTCTATAAATAGATGATATTTTTCTGTGGATGACTGATAGCAACTTACAGATGATTCTTTTTACTTTTAGAACTAAAAAATTAAGCAGAACGTATCTAATTTACTAGGGGGTGCTTTCTCCTCGATTAGTTTATAAACTACTGAGAGCGTTTCCTCCTTTAAATAATTTCCTGTTTACAATACTAGCTTGTTTCTCCTCTACTCTGTATTTGTTATGTTACGTTTATTTTATTTAACTTCCTGTTACATTGTTTATACTTTTAAGCTTCGATTATTTCTAATTTGCAACCAGTGGAATTGTATGTATCCAGTGGAATTTAAAATAAAACTGAAATGAACTGAACTGAACTATCACAAACCTATCTATAATTCATCTGTTGAATATAATTTGACCTAGCTGTTACCACAAATATATATCTGCTAAGCATCAAATAGCTGTTACTAGTGACGCACTTTGATGCATTCAGTCAAAATATCGCCACAACTGGTGGCATTTCTATCGCCCAATTGGTCGCATCAAAAAGGTCTCTGCGGGTTATTCACAACTGGGGAATTCTTTAGAATTTCTCCCGTGATAACGATTGGAAAAATATAGCAATAAAGAATTGTTTAATTCAACCATTAAGACTTGATTTCACAATCTAAATAAATAGGTGCCTTTGAATGTTAACCTCGTCCTATGCCAATCGTACGTGGAAGCATTTTGAGGACTGCATCTGTGATATTTGTCAAAATCTTGGGCGTGAAGTGTGGGTGACTGTTGTTTCAATAAAAGTAAGTTTCTTTCTCTGCAAGAAGACCCTGAAGTAAGAACACACCTGGGTGCTGTAATTGTATTTTTTTGAGCATCTAGAAGTCTAGCTTTAGGAAAACTATTTACTGTAGGTGATGTATTAGTTAGAATAAAAAATGCTTGAAACATGTAGTTTTTAGGGAACAAGAGAGTGAAGAGAAAACTTCTCCGCTTAGATTATTTAGAATATCTTCTGCTTGAAGTTCATGAAGACATTTCGATTTGAAGGAACTAAATAGACAAGACAGGGTTCGAGTAATAACTAAACTTTATGAAAGGAGAAAAGAAATTAGCTTTTGGATTTAGAAAAATTCAATGTTTTATCGGAAAAATTGTTGAGTAGATATAAAAGATTATGTGCAAAGCTTTTTATCAAAATGCTGAGATCTGTGTCACGGTAGATTTTTAAAAAGTCTTTGTATATTGGCTCTTAGCTGAAATGTAGAAGTGAAGAAGTGAAGAAGTGAAGAAATAAAGAAGTGAAGAAGTGAAGAAGTGAAGAAGTGAAGAAGTGAAGTAGTAAAGAAGTGAAGAAATAAAGAATAAAGAAGTGAAGAAGTGAAGAAGTGAAGAAGTGAAGAAGTGAAGAAGTGAAGAAGTGAAGAAGTGAAGAAGTGAAGAAGTGAAGAAGTAAAGAAGTAAAGAAGTGAAGAAATAAAGAAGTGAAGAAGAAGCTAAGACCATACAAACGTAGGGAAACAGTGATGAACTATTAAAAAGGTGAAGATCAAGACGAAGTTGAAGGAAGGTTAAACTTATGTGAATGTGAAAGTTTGCGACAAAAAATTTCTAAAATTTCTTAATGAAGATTCAATGAAGATTTGCAAAAGACGAAATTTCTAATCATTGGAAACGATTTTAAAGTGATTTTTGCAAGCTGAAGTGATTGTTACAAAACTTTTCTGATTTACAGGCTCTAACAGAAGATAATAAACTCCCAGAGAAAAGCAAATTGAAATGGAAATTTGATTTTTACTGGTTTTTTATCAGTAGCTAAAAAGGAGCAAAACATGACGACTTCAAAGCAAACCTTCATAGTTTTTGCATGCCTTGCATTGGTGGCATTTGCAAACGGTATTACAAGGTTGCCTTGTAAATCCCACGGCGATTTCAGCATCATTCTTGATGATATAAAAGACGCAGGGCCTGTCGGGAAAACAGTGACGTCAGAAACCAGAAGAGCTTGCGCTCTAGAATGTCTCTCGTGGCCAAGCTGCAAGTCCCTCAACTTCAAGAAAGAAACAAATTCATGCGATTTGCTTGAAAGAAATTTGACGGAGAGTGGAATAAATTTGATGCAAGACATTGGCTCTGTTTACATGACAACAGAAGAAGACCAAATGAACGTAAGGCCTATTTTGTTAACGAAATTTATTATCTATATTCAATCTACACATTTGATATCATACTGAACTATGGATGGTGTTGTTAATTTCGCACAAATACCGAGGTATTACATGGCATAGTTTATACATCTTTAACAAGGAGGGTTTGTGTGCTTGTAAATTTTTGCGTCAATAGCAAAGCTTCTTATAAAAAAAGGTCTACATTAATTGATAGGGAAATGTGATTTTCTTAGAATTGTGTTTTATAGCAAGGTCCAATCTGCAAAGTATTCATGCCATGCCAGAACGGTGGCACATGCCAAGATGCATGCAACAGTAAAGGATACACGTGCACATGTGTCCCGCTTTACACTGGGTACCACTGCGAGAACATTAAAGGTAAGAATACTGTGTATTGATTTCCAAAGTGATGAGTCGCAAAAATATTTTTTAAATTGACCATTTAGCTTAAAGGAATATTGCGCTGGGAAGCGTGACTGGATAGTGCAGTGTCCATAAAAACAAAGTATGAATTTACTGGTTGCAGGTTATTTTGCTTATATTCTCTCTCTGTAGATAGAGAATCACCTGATACCCTCCTTCAAATTAAATCAGAAATAATCCTGAGACTCTCAGTCATAAATCTGGCTTAAACTCGACTTCATAAAAATCAATGTATTGTTCTGTAGCATATGAACTGTCTCATGCTATAGATGAAACTACTTAAGTTAGTGTTTATCTGCAATTGAAACAAGTAAATCATGCAATTGGATTACCGTATATCCTCTAATGAACGCCGCTGTTTTTACTACAAAACCAAATTTTGGATGCGGCGTTTAACTAAAAGCGGCGGTTATTAGAAAGTGGTTTTTTAGAGGGCGGCGGTCATTAAAGGAAATCATCTTAGATGTTTGCCTTATTCTTTCTGGCTAGGCATTTGTCTAGCCAAACATGCGTTTGTTACTTAAAGGAATGCTGAGCACTCCTGAAATCATCCTGCTAGTGATAAGAGAGCGGAGCCTTCCTCCACGGCACCCCTGATTAACATAATTATTTTTCTGGTGTTATGATATCGAATTCCAATAACAAATCGAGTTGGCACGTCCTTTTATTTCTTTTGCATTTTATCCAAGTTCTTCTCCATCTTATCTTCAGTTAGATAAACCATACTCTATTAAATATACAATCAGCAATCTTCTCTCATTTTGCCACGCCCTTATCTGTAATGACAATTTTCGCACTATTTTAATAGCAAATTCTACAGTATTTCAACGACGAGTTTCGGCTGACGTCGATTTCTACCGCAATTGGGCTTCATATAAAGTAGGATTTGGTGATCCATCAGGGAACTTCTGGCTTGGCTTGGACAAATTGCATGAGTTGGCAAAGCCTGGCGCAGGCGCAAAGCTCCGCATCGACATGAAAGTGATGACTGGTGGGAGCTATTATGCAGAGTACAGTAAATTCGAAGTCGAAAATGAGGCCGCTGGTTATCGATTGACTGTTTCTGGATTCACTGGTACACTTTCTCTAATGATATTTATGTCGCATTCTATGTAGTTCATTACGATTATGATGATTATGATTGATTGACGATTGATTGACAATGATTATGATTGATTGATGGTTATGATTGATTTATGATTATGATTGATTGATGATTATGATTGATTTATGATTATGATTGACTGATGATTGATTGACAATGATTATGATTGATTGATGATTATGATTGATTTATGATTATGATTGACTGATGATTGATTGACAATGATTATGATTGATTGATGATTATGATTGATTGATGGTTATGATTGACTGGGCATTTATTAATGATCATGATTGATGACTGATGACGTTTGTTTTAACAGGAAATGTATATGATGCACTTGAATTTCATAATGGCTTTCAATGGTCCACGTACGACAAGGGACCAAACAGCGATTGTGCCACATCATGGAAAGGAGGTTGGTGGTATGCTCGTTGCTATCATTCAAACTTGAATGGTGTTTTACTTCAAGCTGGACAAACGGAATCTTCTATAAATTGTCGTTGGCGAGATACTAAAGACATCATTTTCGTCGAAATGAAAGTCAAGTAGAACAATTTTACCCGGACAAAGATCATATAAAGTTGAAACTTGGCACAGACGTTCTACTGGCACTGAAACTGGGCAGAGACGTTCTACTGGCACTGAAACCTGGCATAGAGGTTCTACTGGCACTGAAACTTGGCATAGACCTTCTACTGTCACTGGAACTTGGCACAGACGTTCTACTGGCACAAAGCACGTCTGTAAAGGCAACATTGTATAAAATGGCACATTTATTTCCAGCTTCCAATCTATATTGGGGGATAGAGGTGGCTAATTTGAAAATTAATAAAAACTGCAGGTGCTCCTGTACAATTTGTACACGGTATTTAAAAGGCCTAGATACTGATTTATTGGTGATATTAAATGACAGCTGGCAAAAAGGAAATCGACCAATCAAAAGGGGCTTAAGCCTTCTGTCAATCAAATTGAGCCAATCAGCAAGGGCGTGAGCTGTATTACGTGCACTGATTGGCCAGATGGACAGATGGCCAAATGTCTGTTCATTGCTTTTATCGTATCCAAAACCGTAACTACCTTTGTTCTTGGGAGTAGGTCTCTTCGAAAAAATTTATAATAATCTTTTGTTTCCAATGAAGGACTCCCACAAAAATTCTGTCCTTTCTACGTCACTGAAAAAATCATGGCTAAATTGTACCTTATTGCAGGGACCGCGCACTATTCTGAAAGTGGAGGGGCTGAAATGAGTATGACCGAAATTTTTTGAGGCCGCGCCCTCTTGAACGCCGGAAAACGCCCCTCTTAGTAAATGCTTGCTTATTTCTATTGAATTTTTATAAAGAGTTTTGTTCAGAGAAGATATCAATAACTATAATAATAGATATAATTAGCTCGAGGGTAATAAAATACCAAGCTAACCAAGTTAGAAAATACATCATATCATTAAACAAGATGAAACACCTAGAAAAAGAACAAATTGGTTTCCAGTCAATGAGAACTGCTACTGCATAGGAGTAAACTATCCAAAGTTGTGTGAGTGAACCTTCTAAAAACATTTCTAGCCTATTATTGCAAAACAGTGGGCGGGCTTTAGCCCCTGCTAGCCCAATGGCTGCGCAGTGCCTGCCTTTATTGGACAGCGTGTAGAAATACAGTTCTCCCCAAAATTTTTATTTTTTATTTAATAAAAACACTATAAATAATAATTTAACAAAGACACTATAAAATGGTTTTGAAAAAAGCAAATATTTAGTAAATTAAAGCTTTTCGTCTGACACTCTTCAGAGTTTAAAACGTCAGAACATAGACCGAAAACTCTACGCTACCAAATATATATACCCAGTTGTGGATCCAAATAGGCCAATCAGAAACACGAGCACATGACTGTTGACCAAAGACACTATAATTCACCGTACAGCAATATAAGTCCTAGGCATGCCTCGATACAGCTTAAAATAAATGCTAAGATATTTAGATCTCATGAGCATTCGCAAGCCTCTTGGGCTTCATGGCTATCATCGAGGGAAATAAAAATGTACTTTAAATTGCAAACGTAGAGCACAAACTTTTACGACTTTTATGGAGCATGAAGATAAGAACATTTTTTAGGACATGTTTTGCAAAAAACTGTAAAGGGCAAGTCACTCCATGGAAAGCACGAACACATATGATAGAAATCCTATTGCTTTGTTGGTAAATCCCTAGAAATCCTTTTGTTTTCAGGAAATCTCGTACGCTTTATACAGGAGTGTTTGCCCCTCGGTAGGAGTCCTTGCAACTGTTTAATCTTCTGGACATCGTGTCCAGTTGTGTTTCTTTAAGCTCTACTTTTTTACAGGGGTGTCGGCAAAGGGAAGGAGCACATGGTCCACTGTGCCTCTCAACAATTTGTCCGTTGACACATGAAAGAATTTTTCCGGACAAGAAAATGTGATAGCCATAATGTATTTACATTTTTGTAGCAGTTACCAAAGTACGAGTTTTGAAGTTGAAGTGCATAAAAGCAGAATTAAGAGCATTCATATCAAGGCCACACCCTTCAAGAGTGAGACAGGCCTTTTTGTCGGCAAAAGTCATTGCTACATTTCTTCGAATATTGTTTGCTTCGCAACTGCTTGTTTCGGGTGAGAATTCCGGGTTACATTTTAAGGGGTAGATGGGGTGGGGTTAGGCTGATATTTTCCTTACAAGACATCATCTTGAATGGGCTTTCGGTACGTTAAACGGTTGTAAAATATCTGACGAGATGGCAAGAGGAAATCTTCAGAATTTGGGAAAAACAACAAACCTCTACCTCTGTATGCTCTTGCTTCGGTTGTCGGATAAGAGAAATAAAAGCTTGATACCTTGCAAAAACTGCTTCCCCTTCCAAACTTGGTAGGTTGGCTTCATGTAGTTTCGAAGAAATAAACGTGTTAGAAAAATTTAGGCCCTGTGTTTTTGGTTCTCCAAACACGTGGTCAACATTCCATCAACCCCATCGTGTACAAAATTGCAGGCCCCTCGAGATAAGAAATGGAGACAAGAACAATTGAAAAATCTCTAGAGACCAGCAAAACACCGTTCAAGAAACCTCATTTGGTTTATTCAGATAAACACTTGATTGAAAGCTAAATATTCTTATCTTAACGTTAATTATGCAGAATATCTAACAAAATATTAATGTATTGATTAATTATGTCATTGCTATATCAAAGGGAGGAACCTTCTCCAATACTACAGGGCCGCCGAGATGCTTTAGAGACCCTTGGGTGAAAAAGGGTGAGGCCCCTGCGGGCGAGGAGAGCAGAACTCGCCGTTTTGATTAGTTAGAAATTCATTTCAGAATATTTTCTTGCAGTTATTTGATGCATTCTTTATTTATATGCACTGCTTTTTGTTACATTTTATTAACTCCATTCTTAAAATGGAATTCATTACTTTATAAGGCTCCCCAGACCTCACCGCCCTTGCGCAGTAAACCCCCTGCTCCCCCCAGCAGCAGCCCTGCCATACTAGAACTTTCATATCACAAGATTTCGATTTGGCACCTTTTAAGCAGATATTCTACAAAATATTTATAAATAAGAAGAGAAAATTGCTTAGGATTCGTGATCAAATTGCCGGGACTGTGTTCTGACACTTGTTTCATTACCAGCACATATAGAAGATCAAAATAGAATCGTTGATGGCATCAAATACTCATTTTGAGGCTATTTCATAATTATTTTTGAGATCTTGGTTACGTTTTTGCTTATAGATAGTGGCTAGGCCATACTTTAGTCTAAAAATGTTGACGGCCGATAAAAATTGTTCCTCTTCCATTGGAAATAGGCCTTTATAGACTAAACTTTATTGGTAATGGTTAATTAGAATTCTTTTAGAAATAAATTCATCTTGAAACAATATTTTGCAGGTCTAGCTTAAAAACCTTCTTGCTAAGCGCTGTTGAAATTTTCTCCATTACTAGACTATCTAACCATTTTGGTAAGTTTTGTAAAAACTTTATCCGTTATAAAGCTATTTAATTGACTCGTTTCCCTTGCCTTGAAACTATTTTTCATAAACTATTATGTATAATTGTTCGTCAAAACTTGATTATGACAAATGTGTCCATGTTCTTTGCGCCTCGTTCTTATGACCGTTGGTAAAGAGGTTGGACTATCTGGCGACTTCCAGAGTTTGCTTAAGTACAAGAGCAATTCGTAAGTATGGCTCATTTGAAACAAAAATTGTTTCTGTAAGAAGCTAGAATACGATTTCTTGGCTAAAATTTCCAATAGAGCTAATAAGACTTTGTGTACATGAAAGATATGCTGTTAAAATAGAAAAAAATTTGTTCACTAGAGCTCAAAATTTGTACTAAATAAATTGGCTATTTATTTAGTATCTAGCAGTTGTCCCCTGCGGAGCACCTTCCACCATTCTCATGTATTTTAAAGCCCTGCCATACCATTCCAGTTGCTTGTATGATTTTGTTAGGCTGCTGATAATGTGAGTGTTTTGCGTTTCCCCCTCTGGTGTTATTTCCATCATAACCTGAAAGTATTAACAGTTTTTGTCGACTTTCTGTATCAATAAAGGTGAAAATGAGTGGAAATGACAGGGTAGAAACGTGATAGAAGGGAGAACAAGAACAGGGAGGAAATAAAGGGGTTCATGTCACAGAAAGAGAGCAAGGATCACATGTCAGAGGGAATGTTCCTGTATCAGAAAAAGAGTAAAGATCCTGTGGTAACAAAGAATCTAAAGGGCAAAAATAATAGGGTAGAAATAAGAATGAGGGGAACATCAGAAAGGAGGATGGGGCCAGAGAAAGGCAGATGTCAGAAAGAGAGAGAGGTCAGGACAGGGGGTTAGAGGTTCGGGGGCTCAAACCCTTGATAAAAATCAGAGAGAAATCGTTGGAGGGGGGAGGCTAAACATTTTCTGTGAATGAGAAATTTCCTATCAGTCCTTTTGAGTCTGTGAATAGTTCATTTCATATGATTTCATATACACAAAAGAGAATCTTCAACACAATTGCAACACATTGGGTGTGGCATAGTTGCAGTCTTGGGTAAAGCTTCTATGTAGCCTCTCTCAAGGGAAATTAGCTGCTGGGGCAAACCTTGGTTCATATAGCCTATTGTTTAAGATAATGGAAAGTCACTGGGGCTGCAGGGGAAAACCCCCCCCCCATAGTCAGTATACTAAAAAGGCCCCGAGCTTCTAAAAGTTGCTTACAGCATAGCCCCCCTAATATTTTACACCCCCACACCCCCATGTCACCACTGCCCTGTCTAAAAGTATATACTGCTAGACAATCCTAGAAAAAAAGACAAAATATAATGCTCTTACCCTAGGTATAGCAACTGTGTGGCTTACAGGTGGGCAGCCAAGTTCAATTAGGAAGGTTTGAAGTGCTGCAATGCCAAAGACACCGCCAGTTGTACCCATCGTATACCCTATCACCGCAGAGGGCTTGAAGTAGTAGCTGCGGATTAAAGGTATTGGTTAATGGCAGATCTGATAACGTCACATAAATCTATCTTAGACTTTTCAAATTTGGCCGTAGAGCTCGAAAGAACATTACCGAAAATCTTCGAATTGCCCCCCCCTCGAAAAGCCCCCCCTCGATTAAGCCCCGACCCTAGAACTACAAACTGTCAATTAGCCTCCCCCTCGAATAAGCCCCCACTGCTACCGTAAATTTTTCAAATTGGACCCCTCAATTTGATGATTTTTGCCATCTTAGGTTGCCTATGGCGTTTTATTGAATTACCACAACAAATTCATACTTTTGGTAGTAATTAATTAAATGCTAATAAAGAAATTTCTACTAAAATAAACGAGGTCTTTTAATAATGTCTTCTTAATGTCAACAATGATTCTATAAGCCCTCTCCTCGTATAAGCCCCCCCCCCTCGTATAGGCCCCCATCCAAAAATATCAAAGATGAATAAGCCCCCAGGGAGCCAATTCGAGGATTTACGGTATGACAGTCTTTGAAATATGCAAATCAGATGGCTTTCAATTTGGCTGGGATACGCGTTTTTGTTTCTGGATCTTGATATGGTCAAATTTCATAAGCTATCAGCGAGCCCATAAAAATAGTAGTCAATTAAGAAAATTAGCTTGGTCTGGAAGTCAAGCAATGCTTTATTAACCAAATTAATCGTAATATTTCCTTAAAGTCAAAACCAAAACTGCTTGAAAATATTGATAACCCTAAACACTGCTGCATCGCTCCAACATGAGGTCCTCTTCCATAAGAATATAAAACAAGCGGAAGCCCTCAAACGAATAAGCCTCATTTCATAATCATAACAGCGAAAGTTGTCGAATTAACCAGCCTACCTCGTTGGTGGAAAATGGTTCATCGTGTTGCTTAGAGCTGGAGGAACGCCGTGGTTGTATTCTGACGTAATTAACAAATAAGCATCCGCCTCTTCGATCTTCTTGTTAACATCCCTCAGGATCTTTGGTGCTTGGTTTGGATCACGGTAGAAATGCAACGCTTGCTTTAGCACAGGAAGGTTCAGGTCTTTGGGATCTGAGCAAGAGTAGGAGGTCATCATAATCATCATAATAAGGAAGAAGATCTTTAGTTTTAGAGTCATTAGAATGACGCATTCTCCATTGTTGTTAAATTTGCATGGGTTTTCCATAAAGTTAACATTAAAAACAATAAATCTTGCGACGATAGCCGAAAATCTTCTCTGTTCAGTGCGATTAAAAAATCAATGCTTGAAAGGGGAAGGAAAGAGGGAGGGGTAAGGGGAAGGGTTAGGTATAGGGTGGAGGGGGAAGGGTGGAGGGAGAAGCTAGAAGGGAGAAGAGAGGAAAAAAATGAAGGAGGGGAAGGAAGGAGAGGGAAGGGAGGATAGAAAAAAGAGCCAAGGGATGGAGGAAGAAGGGCGGGGAAGGGGAGGCGAAGGGAAAAGTGAGGAAGGGAGGGGAGAAGGTGGAGGTGAATTAGTATAATTCTGATTGATTTTTGCCAAAAATTTTGTATGGTTTCACAATTGGTCTAGCTTCATATGTGTAGAATTGTATTACAATGGGCCTACAAACCTAATACTTCAAGTGAGTGTCCTTCTTTCTGCTGTGAGTAAAATTTCTTGACCAAAGTTGTAACTCTGTCTGCCATTCTTCCCTCGCGAGTTGATCCGATAAATCCGAGGATTTTCAACTTTAAATCTTTTGGCAGTATCTGCTCCATGGCGATGAATTGTTATCTGTAAGAGAATTGATTTTATGGTGTGCATTGCATGAAATTCTAGTACCTGATCAAATCTATAATATTTTGCTAACACGAGAGAAATCGTTCAAAAAGCACTGCGTTCTCTATTCTCGTTATTTCTACATCTGAGACGGCACATAGTCTTGCGTTGTTCATATTTTTGGTCGGCTAATCTTGCTATTCCAGCAGGGGGCCATCGGGTGCCCGCGTAGTGGGCTTTACTCGGGGCTATCTTTACTATTTTGTTAACACGAGAGAAATCTTTCAAAAAGCACTGCGTTCTCTTTTATTTCTACATCTGAGACGGCACATAGTCTTGCGTTGTTCATATTTTTTGGCAGGCTAATCTTGCTATTCCAGCAGGGGGCCATCGGGTGCCCGCGTAGTGGGCTTTACTCGGGGCTATCTTTACTATTTTGTTAACACGAGAGAAATCTTTCAAAAAGCACTGCGTTCTCTTTTATTTCTACATCTGAGACGGCACATAGTCTTGCGTTGTTCATATTTTTTGGCAGGCTAATCTTGCTATTCCAGCAGGGGGCCATCGGGTGCCCGCGTAGTGGGCTTTACTCGGGGCTATCTTTACTATTTTGTTAACACGAGAGAAATCTTTCAAAAAGCACTGCGTTCTCTTTTATTTCTACATCTGAGACGGCACATAGTCTTGCGTTGTTCATATTTTTTGGCAGGCTAATCTTGCTATTCCAGCAGGGGGCCATCGGGTGCCCGCGTAGTGGGCTTTACTCGGGGCTATCTTTACTATTTTGTTAACACGAGAGAAATCTTTCAAAAAGCACTGCGTTCTCTTTTATTTCTACATCTGAGACGGCACATAGTCTTGCGTTGTTCATATTTTTTGGCAGGCTAATCTTGCTATTCCAGCAGGGGGCCATCGGGTGCCCGCGTAGTGGGCTTTACTCGGGGCTATCTTTACTATTTTGTTAACACGAGAGAAATCTTTCAAAAAGCACTGCGTTCTCTTTTATTTCTACATCTGAGACGGCACATTGTCTTGCGTTGTTCATATTTTTTGGCAAATTGACCCTCAGTCACCTCCGCAGGGACTATAAGGAAGGGAGATGGGGAGGGGAAAAGGATAAGATAAAGAGAACTGCGGAAACAAGGAAAAGTGGGGGCTGCGAGGGAGAATGAGTAAGAGAAGAGAATAGCGGACTTCTTTTCTCTTTTTCTCTTCTCCTCCGCCCACCCATTCCTATTCTCCGCAGCTCAACCTTTTCTAACTCGACCTTATCTCCCGATACAATAGCCGCTGCGGAGATGAGTGGACCTTTAGTGTTGTTACAAAAGTTATTACTATAAAAACAAGGAGCAAACGGAAATTTTGACTTTTATGGTCTTCGCAAATTAACTTCTGGGATAATCCCGGATTAGCTGTGCTATCAACGAAGAAAGGATTAGGAAATTTTGACGGGATTAGTTATCGATATGAATTCCCAAGACAGCTTGGGCCCCTACTTTTGCTAGCCGTGGCCTCCCCACTTTCAAACTCGTAGCGTAGGCCCTGTACCAAGCCACGGAAGGTGGAGGGTTGAGCATTCCGTAATTTATTGAGCAAAATAGGCCATAAATATGGATTTAAAAGGCACAGCAGTATCACAGGACAAAGATTGAAGCAACTAAATTGATAACAGAGAAACGTACAGTGTTGCATTACCCCCAACACACCGTTGTATGAAATCCTCTTTGCCGCATACGTCGCATGGAATCCTCTTTGCCGCATGCGTTAAAGCGGTAGCAAAAAGATAAATGAGCTGATAAAACACAGTAATTTCCACTTACTATTTTTCTGTCCTTGGTGGCGTCGAATTAGGCCAGTTTTCTGTTGCATGTATGCGGTGTCGGGTTTGCTTTGGCAGGTAAGCTTGTTTGCTCTCATCAACACACGCAAAGAATAAGAATAAAGGCATTTACAAATAACAGGGATATTTCGCTAGTTGTTAGGATAGGTTAGACGACGGGGGTTGGCTTGGCCCCTGCAGCCACAATTGTATGAAGCAATTGACAGGTGGGCTGTTCATAAAGCACATGTTTCACCCTATGCTTATTTTCCATTGAGTCATGAACAGATCGCGGGAAAGGCATCGGGGAAGGGATTGGTGAAATAATCAGGGATGTAAGAGCCATGGGGCTTATATCCAGGGTACCAGAGCTTCGTAAATCCGGGGGTAAAGTATTGTAGAGAGCTTCGGCCTGTTAGGTTTCTAACTATATTTCTGAGACTAAATTATGGAGGATAGGGTACCCCTGGTAAGTTGTGTAGTGCTTAAAGTAACAAGAGGGGGGGGGGGGGGTCTTGTGTAAACTAATGCAAAGATCAATAGCAAAAGTAGGAATTGGCTACTTTTCAGCGAAAACAAGGGGGGTTGGCTTCCATGATCCTCCTAAACTAAACCCCTGTTTGAGGGTTTGAGATAGCAGAAGTCAAATGGAGTTTTTTTACGTATCCAACCTAAATTTACTGTTTACTAGTCTCCCATAAAGTGTTTAGATGTCGTCTAGGGAGAGCTGAAAACGTCTTTAGGCGTATAGAACAATATATTTGTGATATGTATGAGCACTATATGACAGATCGGTTATCGGTAATTTTCATTAACTTGTCTTCTTAGTTACTAGCCTTGAAGTTCAAAAAACAATAAAGAAATGCGGCAAGATATCTTACAACAGAGAAAAGAATGTTTACTCTAGGAATACGAATCTAGAAATTAACAATCTAAAAACGGGGTGGATAAAAGGGGAGAGGTAAGCATCTATAGAGACCCGGAATCCAGGGCGCAGTGGGTGGTGGGCAGAGGGCTATAGCCTCTGAAAAATTGCTATCGAATGTCTTTTTAAAGGTGAACTGACACGCAAAATTAACTTGATCTCTATTGAAAGTCTATCTGGTCAAAACAATCAGGGCGTTTTCAGTTTTTGAAAATTAAGCACCGTTTGCGAGTTTTTGAGCGCTAAAGTTCATCACCGACAACCTTCCGATTAACTGCGAGTTCGTCCGAGCTTTGTCAAATCCGTGACGTCACAAACACCACATTAGAATCACAGAATACACTTGCGCCACTTGGAACTGGAAGCCTTTTCTGACTTTGGTTGGATCGACTTGATTTTGCGAAAGAGGATCGATCGATACGTTGAAAATGGATTCAGACTCCGATACAGAATTCAGTTATCCTGATTTACAACAACAGGCAACGATTCGCCCTTATATGTTTGAGCCCCTACCGCGGTCACAAAGAGATGCAGCTTGTGGGCCTAGTCAAAGTGACAACACCGAGGATATGGAGGATGAGGATGATGTAAATACCTGCCGAAACAGTAAACCCATGCTTTCCTGACTGATTCAGGTGTCAGTGTGGCAAATGTTTGCCAATGCGAAAAGGAAGGGAGAGTGTCTGCTGCTTGGAGATAGTCGAAGTAAAAAAACGAACCGGAAGACTTACATGCATAACAGACCACGATGGCTTCAAGTCACTATGCCTTGATCATCATGTCGTAGAGGATGCGATTTATCAGTATGTGGGTGAGGTGGGAGGCTATGTCGACGATACTCCCGCTTTTGAGTAAGTTTTAATGATTTCTGGGTCTTAAATTTTCTCATTTTTTTCGTTATGGAGAAAGTGTTTTAATAACTTTGCGAAACAATATTGAGTAAAACAATCTGAATGATCAGTTTTGGACCTGCTTTTTTGAAAAGCTGACTCGCGTCTCCAATGAACCCAGTCGCATTAAAATTTTTGATGCATGTTTGGCAGATTTTTTTTCTTTGGATTGTGATTTTTGCAGATATTTTCTTCTAGGGGTTTTTATGAAAACTTTTAGACCAAGCCCCCTCCTAGCATTTCCATATTAAACTGTGATCTTGATTTATGCCAGTATCTTATTTTTTTGTTGCTTTCCAGACTTTTTAGGCATGTAGCTTATCGCCAGTTTGTCAGGTGGATTTGGCGGCGGCTAGGAAAGCATGTAAGGAAAGTCATTCCTTCTTGTTCGGTGGCAAAGATTAGAGCCAAGTTTCCATCTGAAACATATACGGGGTTCAAGTTATTTGGAATTGATCACTGATTATATCAGGTAAATAAAGCAGCATATTTTGAGTATATGTGTATTAGCCTTGGACCACATACATTACATTATATTTCCATTTGGATATATATAGTTTTCTTCCTGTAGGGTTTTTTCATATGAAAATAGTAATAATTGTGTTCCCTTGTTACCGAATATACATTTCTACATCATCTAGATAATATACATTTCTATATCATTACCGAAAAATCCCTAAATTTTTAATTTCTTTACTTCTCTAGCATTTGCATTATTTGCCTTTTTTCTTTTTCTATGTAGAGGTTTTTTGTTTTGAACTTGGTTGTTTTGTTCCTCTGTATGCCCTGCACAAGATGTCTTTGAAAAACGGGAGATATGCTGACTCACAAGCTCTGGCTTTGATACCTTTTTATGGCCAGCAGAAAGAGGATCTGGACTTTTGATCAAGTCATGACAATCACCTGCTTGTGCATATGTCATTAGCTCTTTTCTTCTTTCAACTGCCTTCTCCATAATGATCTTTGCATACTCTAAAAAGTTTGAAAATGACACATCAAATCAAATGAGCAGGTAAAAAGGATAAGATGATTATTTTTAGGCACTGCCAACAAGAAAGACTAACCATATGTGCTTTTTGACTTAATTGGTTTAACCACACCAGTTTGTTTGTACTTTATATATGATATTTGCCATCTTTTCTCCCCATCCTTTGTTTCCAATTGCTGTCTGCCAGTATTTTCATTGAAATGAATAGCTGCCAGAAGAACCCTAGAAAATAAAAAGATTATGCTGATCCGTTGTTTACAGTGAAGCACAAACTTTGAAAGACACATACCAGCTCGTTGTTTCGTAGCGACATAGAATATTCCTTTTAATCCTGTATGCCAAATATCACATTATGCATAATAGAATTGCAGGATTATTCGATAGCAGTGTCTTTCTGGTAAAGAAAAGCTATTTAAACCAGGTAAATAACAAGCTTCCTTAAGATATCATTAACCAGGGCTATTATGTCTCATTGATATTTAGGAACAAATAAATGGATAACATGTGCTTGATTGTTACCTTGCTGTCATTGCCTGAAAGTGAAAATGTGTATGCTTTGGGGCAAAGTGGAGAACAATGTTATGGAAAGATTCAAGATGGCTTGTCTGTTCCACAGGTGAAAGCTTAGCTATGTCATTAAGAAGTTGTGTTTTGGTCAATTTGTCTTTCAATTCTTTATATGCAGCTTTTCCTGAAAAAAGAGTATTTGTGTTAATCAATGTTTGTTGTCTCATAAGAAACACAAACACAAATAAAGGCTTTTTAAACATGATCCCATCCAACAAGTTTTTGGCTCGCAAAGTCGTTTATTGTTTATTCTACATTTTTTGTCATGTTTGAAAATTTTTGCATAAGATACCTTTTATCAACCATTCACGCTCCATAGGCCCATGTTCACAGCATTTAAAAAGTTGTCCATCATGTCCTTCGTGCTTATTAATGATGTGGTTGAAAAGAGAAAGCCACTTTTCCTTGATTAGTTGTGGACTATCTTTGCTAGTTGATGCACACCAATATACATGATTTTTTATTGATGGCACCCATTCATTTACCACAGCTGTTGTCCTCTTCTTGCCAATTTCTTCTACCTTTCTTGCAATCGCTGGTAGGAATTTTATATCAGTAATTGAATTTCAAGCATGATTGTCATTTTATTTGGATTAGAATATAGCAGTAAATCAATGTTTCAACTCTTTAAGAAATAATCAATACAATAAAGCAATATTCATTTACAAATGAAGTTATAAATTAAATTTCAGTGGAATGTGTAGATATTTAAACATTTGGCCAACAATTGATATTTTAAAGAGTTGGAGGAGTTTTTACATCTGATTTGTAACATTCATTTATAAATCAGTTGAACCTTTCTGTCTATGAATTTATTTAATGCCAATTGCTATGCAGCAAAGTTACAAAGCAACTCACATTTTGCAACATGGAAGACATCAAAGCGGTGATTCTTGTCTGAATGACATTCTCTCATGTATTTTTTAACTCCAGCATGTCTGTCTGTGACAAGTGTCGAGAAGTTAATACCTGCAGCTTTCACTTCATCCAAGCAACGTTTTAAACCTTCCAGCTCCATGTGATATGAACCACCAACTTCATTGCTCTACACCAATAAAAAGGGAAATCAGTAGACAAAGCATCACATGCTTAGAGTCGAGGGAGGTCATAGTCAATCATTGGAAAAGCTCTTTTGGACTTAAACTGAAACTTTGCTTATAGGTTATACCTAAAGTTGTAAGAATATTTTAGGTCTCATTTCATAGTTACCTGTAGCGTATTAACACTGATTATTTTGTTTGATTCCAGATTCATCAATGAATAGCTCCCATATTTGGCAGTATGACCTGGAGAATCCATTCTGGCATCACCTCCCAGTGTTCTGATACCCTGACTGCTTCTCAAAAGTTGCTGTTGAACAGACTTCCAATGTTCCAAAATTGAGGGAATCAAATACAGTTTTTGGATCCTATGATAAGTCCTCTCTGTGAAGCTTGGTGTTTGCATATTGTGAAAAAGTAGCAATATTTTTGCTGGGGAGCACCCTGACAACAATGTACTTGCAGCAATGACAAAATTTCCAAGTGGCATATCACCAATTAGTGGCTGACTTCTCCATTTTCTTACATGACCTTGCAGACATGATGCTTCAACTTGTACCATTGAGCCCACCAAGGAGGTTGAGATATCAATACAGGGACCAAGACAAACTGAGCAAATTGCGAAAAGCTGCAGGAGACATGACTCAAATACCAGGAACTTTCTTTCAAAGTGAGGTGGAATCTCCTTTTCACATTCAGACTCGGCAGATGAGAAAGATGATGCTTGAGGATCCCAGTTTTCACTTTGTGATCCACTGCTGGTTTCAGATTCTACCTCAGAAAACTCATGGGACTCAGCAAGACCACTGCTCAATTGTGGTGAAACTGTAGATAAAAAATTTTGAAGAGGAACACCATCTCTTAATTATCCTCAGGCATAAATTACTGTCTATTGTGCTCTCAGACTTGAACTACTACCTCCCCCCCCCCTTAAATTTTATCTACATTTAGCCTGTATACTCTCTTTTCTGTTTACCTGCTTTTAGGAAAGTCTGCAAGGAATATTTTTCTTGTATGTTGAATGATCTAATCAGTTGACAACATTTTGACAGAAATTACTCTACAGTTGACAGAATTCAAAATCCAAAAATAATTACAAATAAAAATGTATGACATGAGAGAAACAAATCAAATTTTACCTTCGTTCGCCTGATCTGGTACTCTATGGATACATAAAGGATGCATTTGGCTGTCTGTTTGTATGGCTTTATGGACAGACTTTTTTTTCCGTTCAGTTTGGGTATACCTGTTTACAGTCTCTGTTTTTTCTGTTTGCACTGATACACTAACTGGAAGTTGGGTGTCTGTATTGCAGCCAATGTCTATAAACAAGGGCATTGCAAGTTCTGTAGAGTCTTCTTCAGAGGGAGGTGCCTGCTCTGCCAATAACTTTTGCACAATCTAGACCAGTATGTAAAAATTAATCATAATTTATTTATTATATAAATTCCCTAAAAGTCCTTTATTTAAGTTTGTAAGCAGAAAACAGGCTTGAAAAAGTTTCCTGTAGGGGCAGACACTTAGTCATATATTGGGGGGACAAGCCATTTGTTTTGATAAGATGATGTCAAATTGTTCCATTGTTTTAGACCCAAAGCCCATTTTCCTCAAAAAATATTGGGGGCAACCACCCCCTCCTCCCAGGTGTCTATCACTGCTTTCCTGAAAAGGAGCCTGAGACTGCAACGCCCCTCCAGTTTCATTCTGGTATACATTTCATATGTTTTGAAAATTATTTAGTGCTTGAAACCCAAAGCTCCTACTGCCCGCTTTATTTTACATTGATAGCATAATAAAAGTCATCTCACAAAACTCACATTTTGTTTGAGAAATATTCACATTATCAGGGAAGCTGGAAAGGGGGGAAGAGGGGGAAACTGCACTCTTGCCCTTTGATAGGAGGAGCAAGGGGGCTAAAGTGCCCTTGTTCTCAGCCTTTTGTATTTATTAAGGGGGGCATGGCCCCCTCACTTATTTGCAAAACACTGGAGCTTTTATAAAACCTTTTGTTATGATTGTTATATTTTATCTTGGCCTCTCCACTTAACCTGCGGCGGAGCCCGTTAAAATAGTATCGAAAGTAGAAATTGACTACTTTCGGGCAATTAAAAGTGGGCATGGTCGGACTGGGGGGAGGGGCATATTTGGAGTATTTGCCACAGCATAACCAAAAAATTTAATAATACGTGCAGCTTTAAATATGAAAATTAAAAGAAGCCGAATATACTGTGTTCTGAGAATCAATGATCTAGAAGGTACTATGCAGTAACAGGCTATGTAAAATTAATATGGCTTGACGAACCTCATGACGGGCTCTCTTCATTAGCGCTTTGCTTTTGCCAGCAGCAGTAACAGGGCTTTTTCTTGGGCTAAGGCTTGGCTCCAGCTGTTTCTGAAATTTGCTCGCAAACCTGCTCCCCAAATACGGTCTTTTCCCTTTGACATTACACTTAAATTTGGGTGACGAGAAGTCGAATTCCGTTGGAACAGCATCCGCTTTCAATTTTAACTTAAAACGAATGCCTGTTAATTCCATTAACTCGGGATTCCTCTCGAAGGAAGTTTGCTTGAAATGGTCTTGACAAAGCGCTGCTCTTGGACCGGGATTGAAGTTTTCCCTTTTTGTATTTCTAATCCACTGTCTACGTATGATAGGGTTTTCGGGGAATGTGAACAACGATTTTCCTTTACCAGTGCAATTATAAGCTGAACAACCAACCATTTTCTTTATCTGCAATCACAGGCCACGTTTATCTCGTCGAAAAGTAGCAGAATATTAACAAGGTGTCTGGTCACTTCGTGCGTGATTTGTATTCGAGAGATGAAAACATGGTGTT